ATGTCACCCTGTCCCCCTTTTATTTACACCCTATATACTGTATGTCACCCTGCCCCCCTTTTATTTACACCCCATATAGTGTATGTCACCCTGCTCCCCATTTACACCCCATATAGTGTATATCACACTGCCCCCCTTTTATTTACACCCTATATAGTGTCACCCTGCCCCCTTTATTTACATCCTATATACTGTATGTCACCCTGCCCCCTTTTTTATTTACACCCTAGTGTAGATCACCCTGCCCCCCCTTTTATTTACACCCTAGTGTATATATCACACTGCAGATGATTTATTTGCACCATAGTTTGTCATATTGCACTCCGTATATAATGTACATCACACTGCATGCCCTTTATGTACATTATATAGTCTACTGGTCTTTGAATTCTTAATTTACACGTTTATAGTTTACCTGGCACTGCATCTCCTTTATTTACACATTATATACTGTACCTACCACCACATCCTCTTTACATCTCACACAGCTCCCCTTATTATTATGCCCTACCTATATGGCACAGCACTCTGTATTAATATACCCTACCTCTACGGCACCGCACGCTGTATTAATATGCCCAACCTCTACGGCACCGCACGCTGCATTAATATGCCCTACCTCTACGGCACCGCACGCTGTATTAATATGCCCAACCTCTATGGCACCGCACGCTGCATTAATATGCCCTACCTCTACGGCACCGCACGCTGTATTAATATGCCCAACCTCTACGGCACCGCACGCTGTATTAATATGCCCAACCTCTATGGCACCGCACGCTGCATTAATATGCCCTACCTCTACGGCACCGCACGCTGTATTAATATGCCCAACCTCTATGGCACCGCACGCTGCATTAATATGCCCTACCTCTACGGCACCGCACTCTGTATTAATATGCCCAACCTCTATGGCACCACACGTTGCATTAATATGCCCTACCTCTACGGCACCGCATGCTGCATGAAAATGCCCTACCTCTATGGCACCGCACGCTGTATTAATATGTCCAATTCTATGGCACCGCACGCTGTATAATTATGCCCTACATGGTCCCCGATATTTAAATCCCCCATGGCACACCAAGAGATCACACTCAATATATACTTTTACTACGACACACCTGGCTCTGCTCCTCTTCCCAAAAGAAACAAGGTCTGAGGATTTATAGCAAATTTAGTAATTTAAGTAATCTTGCTGGGGTCAACTCAATTTTGAATTGTCAATTAATGTTTCCCATACAGCAATATTGTGCCAGTTTAGCTAATTTTACAGGTTTAATTTTCTCGAATGACATAGTAATGCCTTATTGGTAGGCTTTTATGGTGTCATGGGAATTTTAATTTATTAACACAGATTATCTTTTTGCAACAATCAGGTTATGGTTTATAACAATATACTATTTGAGTAATCTTTTCCCTTTCTCTCTCCATCAGGTCACTCCCTACATATGGTGGTATCAATTTGCTACTTTCACATCATCAAATTGATCCCCTATTTTTAACCCCTTAAGGTCACAGCTTCAAAAGCTTGTCTTACCCTTAAGGACACTAGCCATTTTTGCGGTCTGTGTTCAAACGCAATTTGCATCTCTGTCATTTATTGCACCAACACATATCATATACCGTTTTTTTTAGAAGGCAAACAGGGCTTTAATTTTATGTCTCATATATTCTCATTAATTATTAAAAAAAAAATATATCAAAAAATGGGGGGTAAAAAACACCCTATGAACACCATCAGTACCCTTATGATCTCCTGTCTGGCTCGGTCCAGGGCCAAAGAGAGGACACTTATTCATAACACCTTAAATCAGGTGGTCACAGTAAAATGGTATTTTGTGGCATTTGAAAAGTGGTTGTGTTGTACAAGTGTAGTTTATTAATCAAACTATAAAAACCAAAGACATGTGAAACAATACACAGCAGTTATTTTATAGGTCCTGGATTCCAAGACCTGCATGAAAACAAACTTCCTGAATTGTAATAAAGCAAACAAGGAAAAAACACAAAAAATGTGCTCAATATTTTTTACATTTATTTACAATAAAAGATTTGAAATATTTACAGGGGATGGGGAGGGAGAATGAATTACAAAGCGCATGTGGCAAGCAAAGATGCACAGAGGACACAATTCCTGGTTTTCTACTAAGTATACTTCTGAATAAAATTAACATTTTCAGTAAGGAGCTGACAAGTTTTAACAAACATTAAACTGCCAATAAAATAAAATAGGGCAGACAGTCAGACGTATGCATGGTATTACAGGTAAGCCAAATTACCTAAACACCGGCTGGTTGGTAAAGGCTTGCATTAAGTCACTTGAAGGATCACGTGATTTCACAATGCCAAGAGTAGAAGACAATGATATTTAGGGCCTTACCTGATGAAATATCCTAATGGGTCTTATTGATTGAACACCTAACTCAAAACATTGTTTGGTGGAAGTAATCAATATATAATATATTGTGATATATCTGAGGTGCCATGGTTAGCCATCACTGATTTACTATACCAGGAAAGTTGTGTTTTAAAGGAATGTCCTCCACATGTGGTAGAAAAGCATATGTGTAGATCTAGTAAATAATGGTCTTAAATCAGTGCTTTCAATCGAATTATGTCAATTAGAAAGGTCCTAAATAGGCCTTTGATTTAAAACCCTATCAAGTTATGCATTAGAAGCAAGGAGCACTGCATTTTATTATACTACCACATGCCGCTTTACAGGTCTACCTTTTATAAAACTCAATACCTTTACTGGGAAACCAGTAATCATGTGGTTTTTTTTTGTTTTAAAAAACAAAAAAACAATATCAAACAGCAGCAGTCCCATAACCATTCACCTCCTTGAACAAACTAGAGAAACTAATACCAAGTGCCATGTAATCATGCACCATTAAGCTTATTTGCAACTAATTCAAACAAGCAATTAACAGGTACCAACAGGATAAAAAAGTGAAAACTTCCAAAATCTCGTTGTGCCTTTGGTGGATTTATTTAGAAAATATTACAACCACCAAACATAAAGTACAACTTTTTTTGAGTTTAGAAAATCAAAGGCTATTACAAATGCAGCAAAAATGGAGAGCGAAAAATAAAAAAAAACATCTAAGTACCTAAAGATTTGGGACATTTCCCCTGCCCGGTTCCTGTCTACTTCAATATGAAGTAATTCAGTTACCATTTATACTGCTTCTGCAGAGTTGAAAACTTGTATCCATATGTAATGAGGTTACACCTGAAAACAAGTATTTCTGTAAACTGCAACTGCTGACCAGAATGACTGCAGGTGCACATTTGAGTCAGTTATTCACTTTTTTGACAAGATTTCAGCAACACAAATTTATTTATTTATTTAAAGGATAATGACGCTAAGAAAAAAAAAAAAGAACTGTTCATGCAATGAGAAACCGGTTTTATAAAAGGGGCACTGTTGCCATCATCAAAAAACCTGAATGGCCAAAAAAAACAAAAAAAAAACAAACACAAGTGTAAAGGATTTCCTGGGGGCAGGTTTGTTTAAAGGGGGTGAGGGAGAAGAGGCCGAACGCCAATTCCTCCAAAAACCTTGCTCCTAAAGTTAAAACTTGATGGTACTGCCCCATTTTGTATCAGTGAAAACCTCCCAACATGTGGGAAACCCATTGTTCTATCAAAAGTATATTTTTAACCACTCTACGACCATGACAAATGTAACCAGCGCAACATAAAAAAGGCCATTATCTGTTCTATAACCACCTGTATGTGGCACGTCTTCCTGGGAAACAAATACTAATAAGGATAGAGAGAAACATGTAGATGCTGCAGAACCTGTTTGGATGCTTAATACATCAAGTCAATCCCTTGCATTCAAGGGATAATACATGTAAGAGAAAGACCTGCCATAGAAGAGGTTCTGCAGTAGTGTGTTTTAACACTACATGTGTTTGTAAGCATGCAGATTTATTGTAAAAGACGCAAAAAGCACAACACCTGTACTAATGTAAGAAAGCAGAGAGGTAAACGTCCAAGCAGTGAGTTGCTTCACTGCGCCTCGGGTAGAACAAGACATGAACCAAGTTGGCTCACTGTGTGTTTAAAAAGCCTCTATTTTCACAAGAATTGCGTCTAAATGTAACAAAATACCAAGAAAGGGTTTTTTAAAAAGGCATTTAACGTGGTCACATTAGGGAGAAAAAAAAATCCACTTAGAAAGAAAGAAAAGGGAGTGGAAAATAAATATGAACATTTACTAAGGAAGGTCCACTTGCATCTTTTCATTCATTTGGAATATAAAATGAGTTAAAAAAAAAAAAAAAAAAATCACACAAGGCTAGTTCTGTAATGTACATGCCAAGTTATTGCTACAAGTCACAATAAGGGAAAGCTTGACATCCCATCCCCTAATGTACTACGGTGCCATCCAGAAGGGCATCTGTTGCTTTGCTCTCTGCTGGGATCCTGGGTATTGATACCCCATATTCCAGCCTTGAGAGAATGTGCAGGTCTTGTGTCCGCCATGCTCCTCTTCTTCATCAGATGAATCTCCTGCATACGCCACCAATCCAAATGTTTTATCAGAAGTCTTCAGCTTTTTGGTAGAGTGATCTGAAATTGAGAAGGGGTGGGGAAGACAGAGAAAGAGAGAGAGAAAAAAAGGATCCCATCCCACAAAAAATAAAATAAAATTCCAGGATCCATTAATTCACAAGAAATGGTTAAATGCGTTAATTGGGCAGCATTGTAACAGGCATGGAGGTCACACCAGATCCGAGTTTCAATGTCAACAGCAGCGCAGACACCATCCGTTCAGTATCATGTAAGAGAAGAGAGAAGAAAAAAAAAAAAAAGAGAAAGACACAAAAAAAAAATACAAAGATTTGCAATTAGATATCAAACCTGAGTGATGAAGGACTTTAATTATGTTCCCAGTACAAAGTTAATCCCCACCCTGTGTGTGCAAACTCAACACTTGAAGGGTGGCACTGGCGATAAAACTGGGGACAAGAGAAGTTATAAATATAGGCCTGGGTGATTTAAGACTTGGCAGTAGCCAGGGGTAGCTGCTTTGAAAGTACCAGATCCTGCAGATTCCTGGTGAAATCTGATCAGAAGCAACATATGACAGGGAGCAGTGTGAGCCCGGCTGTAAACCTATCTGTGTGATATTTGAGATGCACTGGACTCAGCAGGGATTTACTGGCAAGCTGTGCTCCAGGTGACACTTTCTGTTTAATGGGTAACCAGATATTGAGATACTCACCATCAGAAACCCCTAAACTCCCAGAAGCTGCCTTTTCCTCAGCGTCCTGTGTTATGGCAGGTAAACCAGGTGGAGGCATCAACTGCCTAAAGACAAACATTGATTTGATTAAAGTAACGTATGGCAGAAAATTCTCCATTTCCAGTCTACCATTTCATTTGTCTCAGGAACGCAGAGTGCCAATTACAAAAAAATAAACAGAGAGTAGAACAGTGCAAGGAGTAGCATGTTGCATGAAAATCAGCAACCAAGCCCAGAAGGAGCACGTTGCATGAAAACCAGCGACCAAGCCCAGAAAGCAAACGGATACTGCAAGTGCACCATACAGGAGCAAATAGAAAGGGCACGACTGCCCCAATTACTATAAAAAGAGACATTTCATGGGGGGGGGAGGGAGGGGAGAGGCCGCAATATGAGCAGTAGCTGTGCTTCAGCAGGGGGACTTGCTTGTAAGAGCACGATTAACCGTTACGTGCAGGCATAAACTAGTTTTGCAATATTCAAATAATTACAGCTTACTTGAAAAATTAGAAGACAATATGGCAAGCTTTAGACAAGATTTACTGTTCAATTCAACCTGTACACTGGGCTAGCAAAATCTTCAGGAAATGCAGAAAATAGGATTGTATTCTCAAGTATAAGGGAATTGTGTGTGGTACCAAGTATAAACTGGAAAGCCTACACTAGAACTACATTTTTAAATTGTATTTTATAAATTACTCCTGCATTTCTGTTCAGAAGACAGCTTTCTTTCATTGCCCTTGTATGTACATGGTATAGTGACAAAATTAAATCCGAATAAAAGGTATACTCAAATAAGCCTAGCCAGTGTATCAGGTAAGCAAGATGTGCAAACACTAGAGTGTCGCTGCCGTGGTATTGAGCTGTAAGCTGTAGCAGAATATGTGCACGATACTACATGTCTGGCTGCATGTACAGCATTCCGGAATGGAGCTGCCGGTATCATGAGAGATGGCTCTGGTGCACTCAAATCTCACTGAGTAATATAAACTACCGTATATACTCGAGTATAAGCCGACCCGAATATAAGCCGAGGCCCCTAATTTTACCCCAAAAAACTGGGAAAACGTATTGACTCGAGTATAAGACTAGGGTGGGAAATGCAGCAGCTACTGGTAAATTTCTAAATAAAATTAGATCCTAAAAAAATTATATTAATTGAATATTTATGTGCAGTGTGTGAGTATGAGTGTGCGCGTGATGCAGTGTGCGCGTGATGCAGTGTGCGCGTGATGCAGTGTGCGCGTGATGCAGTGTGCGCGTGATGCAGTGTGCGCGTGATGCAGAGCCTTGGTGGGGGGTGGGCATTTTTATGCTCCTGTCAGCTCTCTCCTCCTCCGCGCCGGCCCGTGCAGCTCTTCTCTCGCGAGACTTACACTGGGAGCTGACCGAGGTGCTGACCGGACCGGCGCGGAGGAGGAGAGAGCTGGCAGGAGCTGCAGGTGAGGTAAGTAACAGCTCTGCCAGCCCCCAGTCTGTATTATGGCAATGTAAGTTGCCATAATACAGACAGTGACTCGAGTATAAGCAGAGTTGGGGTTTTTCAGCACAAAAAATGTGCCGAAAAACTCTGCTTATACTCGAGTACATACGGTACTCTATTCTGCAATGCCAACTAACACGACTCGTCAATACAGAATAAATTGTTCTCTGGACATTTGCCAAGTGTAATTTGTGCAGGAGTGCTACACTTTGCAGAAGTTTGTTTTAGCAGTTTCTATAGCTTGACATAGACTGGTCATGCAATACATGTACACGTGCATCGAATTTCCAGTGTCAGTCCACAAGTTAGAAACCAGGCAATTGTATCTTTTTGAAACTTATAGCTACAAACATTAAAGGTTCTATTTTTATCCGAATGTGTAATTAGGCATAGACATTATGGGTTTTCTCAGACAGAATTTAAAAAAAGGGTATCTTGCAATACTGTGATAACCAACTTAGAAATGGCTGCTCACCTGTCCCTCTCTCGCTCCTTTGTGGCCATGCCGTCCGACTTGATAGCTGGACTGTCCATCTTGTTCTGGGCCGGGAAGCCTGTACCTAAATTAGTCATATGAATGGGTCCATGCTATGAGCAGAAAAACACACATCAGCATTAGCAACTCTACAGGAGCAATATCCAGCTCCTCAATGTCAGCTTTCTCCTCACAGAGGGGCCCGCAGCCCTATCTGAAAGGCTGCACTGCGGGCCCCTGTGAGTGAGAGGTACACAAACATTTCTAACTAAGGAAAAAAAGCGTAGAACTACTTCACATGAACATATACCTTTCAGTGGACCATAGAATCAGCCTTACAAGATAATCTGCAGTCTGGAAAAAACTTTTGCGCCAAAGAGCTGGTCTTTCATCGTCCATTTCAAAATATTATCACCTATTCCGTAATGAATTATTACAATAAAGAAAGGGGGTTCTGGAGAGAATCCATGCTAATTAAATTAGTGAAATCCATTACAATCTAAAGAACAAAAACCCCCTGCCTTATTAGAAAAAACCCAAAATATTTAAAATGGCACGGTTTAGCTCCAGGAAAACTAGTTTCATGTAAAATATAAAAAAAATGTCATGAATTAAAAATGAGGGAGGGTGAGAGCCCACAACACAAACCTTCAAACACTGCAAGTACCAGCTCACAGCAGCACTCTTAAAGAGCAGTGGGAAGAGCCATTGTGGATATCAGCAGAGTCTGACACGGCCACTAAGCGTTGTGTTTCTAATCTTAGGCATTAGAAGATGAATGATTGATGCAGCAAAGGCAAAATGGCTGCCTCCAGTAACTGTTTGAGGATTTCATACAACTGTCATAGTGTACATTCACATGGTCTTAAAATAATTCTACATACTACAGTGAGATGATGCTCTGTTAGTTCTGTTACAGAGAAAGTAAAACTGTAAATTAATGAAGAATAAAACATTGAAAGACAGTTTTTCAGGCTGGGAAAAGAAAGTCAGAACACTAAAAGACAAGTTCTCAAGTTGGACTTAGTTAATTTGGTTATTATGAGCAAAGGAGAAATAATATATGAGAGAGAGAAAACACAAAATGAGAGTCATTGTTGGGCAGCTATAACCATAAAAGCCAATTGATGGAGAGAGAATTTTTTTTAGGGTGATGATGGGGCTGGAGACCCCATTAAGGAATTGGTTTTAAAGTGAAGAAGCTGCCCTCAAAAATGCCAAAGTCAACTTAAAGAAGCGCTATAGTGCCAGGAAAACAAACCCGTTTTCCTGGCACTATAGGGTTATTAGGTTCCCCCCCTCCAGCTTGGCTGAAGGGGTTAAAACCCCTTCAGCCACTCACCTTAATCCAGCACCGGCTCCCTCAGCGCTGGTGACCTCCCCCCCGCTGACGTCAGCTCCCAAGTGGAGCCGAAAGCGCATGCACGGCAGGAGCCGCACGCGCTTTCAAACCTCCCATAGAAAAAAATTACTCAATGCTTTCCAATGGGGATCTGAACACACGCTGTGCGAGTTCAATGCGATTGTCAGACTGAGAATCGCGACAGAGCCTCTAGTGGCTCTCAGGGAGACTGCCAATAGTGGCTGGATTAACCCTGCAGCTGCAGTGTTAAAACTAGGGGGACATGGCACCCAGAACACTTCATTGAGCTGAAGTGGTCCTTTAACAGAATTTCACAAGTACATTGTGCTAGGCATCGGCGAACACAGTCAGCAGCCAATTATTTGCCTACTGCAAAAATATAAAATCTATAAAATAAAGTGGACGATTTTGTGCGAGATCAATGAAGTGAGGCTCATGAATCATGGATCCATCTATTTTGTGTTAAGATGAAGAAAAAGGAAATTGGGGTGGAGATTTTGGTCATATAAATCATTGGGTGGGACATGTGTAGTTTATAGCACCTGGTAACCAAGGAGGCCGGAGTCCCTCTCTTCTGGCAGCTCCTCTGTGAAGCGTCTTTTCTGACCTGGTGGAAGAATCTGCGATGACTGGGAAACTGGCGGCTTAACAGGTACTGGAGGCAAGAAGGGAGCACTTAAAGATGCCTGAAAAAGAAACAAATACACAGTTGAAACTTACTGTTACTTTTAACTTTGTTTGCAATATATGGAAAGTCAGATTATGTAGATCCTCAATGCATGGTACTTGGTCACAGAATGCAATACACAGGGCCACATGGACAGCATTTTAAGATAAGTCTGAAACACTGTGGGACTGCACATTTGTAGCATTTTACTGAACAGATGTTGTAGAAAACATTTTTATCACTTGATATACATGTTTGTAATTTCAGCGGAACAAGGCATACGTCATTTCCTTTACTCATTTAACCAACTAATCCTAATTGCACAGGCCCTTAAATTTGAAAACATTTAGCCCAAGTTGAACAAAGCCACCATTTCCACAAAGCTCTTCCACATGTGAGTAGTTTTTCCAAGCTGAGTGATAGGCATGCATACAACGGTTTACTAGAGCCTGGACAGATAGTGTTCAAACAGTTACTGTGGCAGGACTTACAGGAGGCTGCATTTGTGGGATTGGATAGCGTGTTGGCACTGGCGATACAGGAGTGGTTATGGTAGGCACAACTCCAGGTGGAGGAGGATCAGTGGTGGTCATTGGTGCAGGTACAACATATGGGATCTGGACTGGCTGAGGGGGAGGTGGTGGCAGGACAACAGGAAACCCTCCGTGGAAGCCATTGGGTGGGTAGTATGGCGACTGCAGTGGAGCCGCACCTAAATGGGGAGGCTGCGTGTAACCTGGAAAAGACAATGATTATACAAAACCAAATTTTAAACATGTTGACGGACACATGAAAACCATACACGTAGGTCAGTACTAAGGTTACTCTAATCTCTTTCATGCTATGTCATGTAAGCTGCACTACTCACCCCAATTGAACTATGAGCATAAAAGCAATACAAATGGAAAATAGTCTTGCTTTCCAAAAGGAAGTTATTCAGGGGAGAGAATGCTTAAATGACACGATGTTAGCAAGAAGATTATCCAACTGCATTTACCAATTTTTTTTTTAATTTTTTTTAAACAAGAAACCAACCACTCACCTGGTAAAGGTGCAGCTGTATTGATCTGATTCACAAATCTAGCATATTCTGCATGGACCTAAAACAGAAAGATTTCCAAAAATAAACTCACTCGGACTGGCTCACACTCAAAGCTAAACTTTGCAATATGAAAATTAGGAAAAGAAATGGAAGCCTAGGAGTAGGGAGTGCACTCTTGCTGTGGATAACCCAGATAACTAGGGAAGTAGTAATAAAAAAAAAACAAGAACAGAGTGCCCTAATATAAAACGGAAGCTTTATTATTTTCACTAAAAATAAGACAAAATATGGTAAAACAGGTTATATTTGTTCTTAAGTGCTCAAAGTGATTAAAAAGCAGTTTTTACGTTTAATGAGTAAATTTGACTGCCGAATTATCCAATGTCACTGATAAGCCGGTTGCAGGTGTGTGTATTGGTCTCCAGCTAGTAATGTCTCCCAGGTACAATGCCACAGTGTTATTCTAAATGCCTAGGTTTGCAAATATTGTATCAATAGCTAATTATTCTGTTTGTGAGGTTCAATAAGCTCAATTGTTACACATAGAAAGGAGTTGTATCAAGGTTATGCATTATACATATTTATCTGCATTTGCTAGGTGAGGTCTTCTGCCTCATTGTCTTTAGCTTTGCTAAATTCAACAGTTAGTTCTAATATAAATCAGTGTACAAGGTGGGATAATAAGTATAAAAATCAGAGAAAAATCACTATTCAGGGATAAACCCTGTCTGGCATTAAGTAATCCTAATTATGAACATCTAGCAACAGTTGTATACACAGATTTTATGGTGCTATGTGCGTATTGCCAAGAGCACCAGCCAAACGTGCGTATATATGGGCAGGTAGGATTTGCTGCACCGATCGATCTATTAAGAGTGGCAATACTCAGGATCCTGATTAAAGACTAACACAGCTTTCAATCTAGTAGCTTTAGTGACGTTCACTATTTGTCTAGATCACCAAGAGCCCATCTGTGCTGATAGGATTATTGATCGTATTAGACAGTGATATGCTGATTTTCTGCTAATCAGTTTCAAAGAGGAAAAGCTAACTGCTACAATTCCTGCACTGCCTGACAGAATGAGAGAAGGGAAGCAGGCTGCTATCGTGTAAATATCACAATTTCTGTGCCTTCAAGGGCACCGATGGTGTCAAGCCTGTTAGGAATCTCTGACTTTTAGCATATTCCTAGTATCCCTACTACATAAATAAATCTTAAAAAAGTGACAATACTCAGGATCCTGGTTAAAGAAACTGACTTCTGAGATAGTAATTCATAGTTAAACTACCAGAATCACCGAGAGACCCTGGACGTGCGCGTTTTGCCCACAGCTCATCAGAGCTTGCAATATGAAGCAGTAATTTTAAGTCTCATTATTTTAACTGTGGTTTAAGACAAATGTCCAAAACCTCAGACAGGAAAAAAAACAAATCCTCAAACTTGGCCAATACTCAGGGCACTTACAATGGCAAATTTGCTGCTAAGCAATTAATGTAAGCGGAGCTCACCATGGTGACACGTCACTGCTGCTTCAAGAACTCTGGGTAATCAAGCAGCATCAGAAGCCAGCACAAAACATACTAAGCGGACTGTAATAAATGGTATTTACTGTACATATTTAATGAACAACTTATTGAATAGACCCAAAAAGACAACTTACGGTTTGTAAGAGGTTCTCGCAGAGTTTCTTGGCTGCTGCAAGCCCCTCTGGCTTTGGGTGGCTGTGCAAAAGAAACAGTAAAATAATTATTTAAATGGATGCTAAACAAAAGGCCTTTAAAAAGTATTTCTATGGAAAAAGCCAACCTTAGAAAAAGAGCAATAATAAGAAACTGATGGGCTTTATATCAGAAATTATAAATAGCGCCCTTATACCTGATATATATGTACATCGGCTCAAATGCCTCTCTTCCGGAGGCCGGTTCAATACAACCGGAACCTTTGCCTCGCAGGAAGACTTTGGCCCCGGTCTCCGATTGGATGTGTTGAAGGTAGCAGCAGGCAGGTCCTTCCACCTTCTCCTTCACGTTGAAAGTTAGCAAGGCATGCTCAAGTCCCACAAACAGTTTGTCCTGCACATAGTGCATCTGCAGGTAAAATAAAGGGTTAAATAATTCCTTTGTACCAGCAAAGGACAAAATTAGCAGATTGGCAAGAACAGCGTTATTTAAAAGTAACACACATCGGTTCTACTGATCCAGTACAAGGAAAACTTGTCATGTGCCAAGAGCAAGCAAAGCCAGGTAAGAATGAAAAGTGACAGCACAAGCGCAATCCCTGTCAGCTTTTTCCATAAGTAAGGAGAAGCACAGACTGACCCCCGTCCTCCCTCCTCTATCTGCGAGCTTTCTTTATGATTAATGTCATGGTGTTAGAAAGCATTGGGACAAAAGTCCTCCTCGAGTTCAAGTTCTGAGGAAGGATATGGTGGTAAATGGTTGTATATAAAAGGCAGTCATGTTAGCGATGGTGAAAGTTAAAAGTTTATGTAAATAAGTTTACAGTTATCAAGTTTTGGTGGCATGCCCCTTGTGTGGTCTATGGTCTTTATGCGAAATACTGCCTATCCATATATAGTAGATATACCTCCAATGAAAAAAAAAAAAAAAGCAGAAATAAATGCATACATTTCATCTCATACCAGCTTGCGAAAGCGGCATATCTTGTCTGCAGCATTGGCAACCCCTCCCCCTCTTTCTCAAGCACAGACCCTTCAGTAAGCTAGGTAAACTGAAGTGATTTATGTGTGTCCAGGTTGAAAAGCACCTCTCTTAAAGGACCACTCTAGGCACCCAGACCACTTCAGCTTAATGAAGTGGTCTGGGTGCCAGGTCCTTCTAGGGTTAACCCATTTTTTCATAATTATAGCAGTTTCAGAGAAACTTTATGAATGGGTTAAGCCTTCCCCCTAATCCTCTAGTGGCTGTCTCATTGACAGCCACTAGAGGCGCTTGCGTGCTTCTCACTGTGATTTTCACAGTGAGAGCACGCAAGCGTCCATAGGAAAGCATTGCAAATGCTTTCCTATGAGACCGGCTGAATGCGCGCGCAGCTCTTGCCGCGCGTGCGCATTCAGCCGGCGGGGCGTAACGGAGGCGGAGAGGAGAGCTCTCCGCCCAGCGCTGGAAAAAGGTAAGTTTTACCCCTTTCCCCCTTCCAGAGCCGGGCGGGAGGGGGACCCTGAGGGTGGGGGCACCCTCAGGGCACTATAGTGCCAGGAAAACGAGTATGTTTTCCTGGCACTATAGTGGTCCTTTAATGATGGGAAAGACATTGATAAATGTTACAAAAGGCAATTTTCTGAGAAGTTTTAAGCAGCACAGTGTGCATACTGGCCCTCAGTATACTTTGCAAATAACACTTAACTGCACAACCAAGTCAGATTGCACTATTTCAGCTGGCTAGCATAATAAGAGGTGTTCACGGCATAGATCAGGGTGATTGCCACAGACAGGGACTGTCACCACTTGTAATTGTGAACCAAGAAATGACAGCAGATATCCCTGCAATGGTTAGTGACTTAATTTCCATGTTATGTTGTCAAGCTTTAGCATTCCCAATTTATGTGGGTTAAACTATATCCAAGGCTGAATTCCAGTGACTTACAGTAATGTTCGTGCAACTGGAATTCCACACTCAGTTTTGCCAAGCACACTGGACCTGAATGTCAACACTGCTTCTCTTTAAATCCCACAATCCCATCACATACCCCTGACTGGAACTGAGGTTTTTGAGGAGCCACAGGAGGTAGAGGGGCCACCGGGGCAGGCTGATGGTACACAGTAACAGTTGCTCCATTAAATGTTGGACTGGAACCAGTGGCTGCTTTTACTACTCCGTTCGTGATTATTTCCTTGATTCGATTTACAGCTCCTGAGGACAAATCACAAGAGGCTTCTGTTTAAAAAGCTTATTTTGTCACCAAGTAAAGGACATCACTAAAGATTTTGATTTAGAGAAGAATAGGATAGAAGTGGTAGCAAACGCACAGCTTCAGCATCCCTGAGTCTATAAACCATTTCCTGGTTCAAAAACAGATACACTGGAGATTTTACGAGCGCCCATTGCCGTAGTAACGGTAGGGAAATTAAACTAGCAACTGGCTGCAAGAGAACTACGAAAATCTTTCTGCCAGCATTCACTAAAAGTGTAGGATGGTGCAGTCAGCCGTTACAAAATCTTTAAGCTCAGGCTGCTCTCTGACCGTCCAGTTACTCTTGGAGGGGTGTATCAGCAGAGTCTCACTCCACAAACTCTGCTTTCTTAACCCTCCATTTACACATATTCACATCACTTATAAGATATTTCTACAGATGTCAAGAACACATACAACGCACACAAAAATACAATTTTACATTTTATAAGGCTACCTAAAATCACCTCTCAAACAAATATGGGGGGATACAGTTTCACCCTATGGCCAAATTGTGTCAAGCCCACCATTACTACACAGTACCCCAATACACAAATTCCATGTGGGAGACAAATTAAATAGTGCTAATTGAATTAAAGTGTATTTTAATATTCTGCTGTAAGAGCATAGTCAGTTGGAGGTGACCACAGGAAAGTATACGTTTGGGAAGGTTATGGAGCGTAATGTCATTTTATTTATCGTTTTCATAGTAGATATATGGTATGCAGTGTAAGTATACACATTCAAACACTATTGCTTTAATAGTTTAGTTTTGACACTGCATCATTTTTTTTTTTAAATTGCCTTATCACATTAATTTAAAAAAAAAAAAAATATATATATATATATATATATATATATATATATATATATATATATATATATATATATACACACACACACACATATATATATACACACACAACGCTCTTACAACAGGTTATTAAAATATGCTTTTGCTCAATTAGCACAATTTGATTTGTCTCCCACGTTGAAATTAGTGTAGGACCCACCCATATTGGGGTGCTTTGAAGTAGTAGTGGGCTTAACACAAATTGTCCGTATGGTGGAAATGTTTGTTACGTTGATCTAATTTAACAAATATATTTTAGATGTTTTATCCATTGCACTTTAGATTCCTATCACTACCCATCGACATTGGATGAAGGTCAAATCAACATCTATAGACTGTAAGCTTCTCTTCAACCTATTGTTCCTGTAAGTTTTCTATATAAATGGCAATAATATGTTTTCATTCATTAGCATGCTGGTCAAGCCCTGTAACACTGCATCAAGCTTTTCTCAGCACACAAGACATCACTTACTGTCAACAAGGTCCCGAGTCTGGCCCTGAATATGCAGATACAAAGGTCGCTCCCTGGAAACAGAAACATGCAGAGTCAACAAACCAATGCGGATAATAAAAAACAAAACTCAGTGTCCCTAAAAACAATACACTACATAGTTACAGGTGAGAGCAATAAAGGAGAAAACCTGCACTTATTACAACCTGGAAACACAAATGACTTTTTAGGTGAACATTGGCAAGAAACATTTCAAGATGGAAGGAATGGTAAAGCATGAAATCCTGAATTGTAAAGAGAGAATCCAGGCATAGGTGGTGACAGCACAGAGGGCTGTTCAATATGACATACCCAGCACCAACTTTGACTTTCTCCTCCGGTGTCATGTATCTCCCTCGAGTGGAAACAGCTGCCCCGCTCAGACGGCTGATCTAAGGAGACAAGAAGTGAGAATATGATGTCTAATGGTACAACAACAAGTGCAGATTGCTCAGGCACTTAATGGTCTAAGGGAAAAAAGGAGTAACCCAATCTACTTACCTGTCATGACATTCTACTTATCTGAACACAAGATTTTTTTTAATTAGGCTTGGGGACCCTGCTTAGACCTGTACATTAACAAGATTATTCACTAAACTCAATTTACCACATTAATTCGAGAAGAAAATCCAAGGCAGAAACTTCTGATCTGGAAAAATATTTAAACTCCACTACTGTAATAACTGGCTATTTTTGTTCAGTATTGCCATTCGGATTTAAAAGGACACTGTAGTCACCAGAGCAACTACAGCTTAATGTAGTTCTAATGTCTATTGCCCATCTCTGCAGGCTTTTTGCAGTAAACACTGTCTTTTCAGAGAAGAGGCAGTGTGTTTAAATACTGCCTAGGAACACCTCCCTTAGCAGTCACTCAGACAGCCACTATAGGTGCATCCTGGGTCAGTGCTGCTCAATGTGCAGCATGGACGTTCAGCACCTCCACGCTCTGCAAGGAGTCGTTGAACGTTACTCAGAGTTGCATTGATACAATGCATCTCTATGAGGAGATGCTAATTGGCGCAGCGTGGCGTGCATGTGCAATAGCTTTGCAAGGCTTTCTTATAGGAAAGCATTGAAATGGCAGAGATCATCAAGATGGATGACCTTAGCTAAGGAGCCAGAGCGTATCGCGACAAGACCTGCGTGGCAGTGAAAAAAAGATTTTATTAAGCTTTTAGATAGGGACAAGGGAGGGCTCTGTGACCTAGATGGCGGCTTCCAAACTAGTGTCAGGAATACAAGTTAGAGAAGAATAGGATAGAAGTGATAGCAAACGCACAGCTTCATCATCCCTGAGTCTAAACCATTTCCTGGTTCAAAACAGACACACTGGAGATTTTATGAAGCGCCTGTTGCCGTGGTAACTGTATGGAAATTAAACTAGCAAGTGGCTGCCGGAGAGAACTACGAAAATCCCTTTCAGCCAGCATTCACTAGATGTGTAGGATGGTGCAGTCAGCCGTTACAACATCTTTAAGCTCAGGCTGCTCTCTGACCGTCCAGTTACTCTTGGAGGGGTGTATCAGCAGAGTCTCACTCCACAAACTCTGCTTTCTTAACCCTCCATTTACACATATTCACATCACTTATAAGATATTTCTACAGATGTCAAGAACACATACAACGCACAGTGTATTCCTGACACTTTACTGTTCCTTTCATTTGCAGTTTAGTGTCTTGCCCTTTGTCCATCAGAGTGTGCTGGTGAAATACCCTGGATCCACTGTGGTCCAATGATGGGTTTTTACTTGCTCTCTAACAGCGGTCCAGGATCCCTGGTGTTCTAGAGTGGGAGTATGAAAACTAAAGGGCAACTACTGTAGCCTGTAAAAATACTCTAGGAGGAGGTTACCCTTTGGAAATCCAGAAGATTACTTTTTATAATATGTAGACAGTAATCCCCATTTGCCACAATAACTATTGAAGATTTAGCCATGGCAATCCCAAAATCATCATATAGCATAACAGAAACAATAGCACCCACCTCATCTTGTGTTTGCCCTCTTGTTAGGAGATTGCGGCACGTGAGCGGCACATCATTTATTTCAACTTCTGCCACAACAAGATCATCTTTGCTTTTGGATGCAGGCGGACCTTTTCCTGATAACTGGACCTGTAGATTGGTTGGTGGAAAAGAAAAAAAAAAAAAATCAGTCCATTTCAATGCTTTACCACAAACACTATTAATGCTATCCTTTTATAACAATGCCTTCAGAAAAAAAAAAAAAAATGACTGCAATGGGGGAGGTGGGGAGTAAAATTTCCCCTTGGTTAAGTGTCCCTTTAAAAAGGGCCACTACAGACAAACAATTTATTTCACTGAGATACTTGAAAGCGCAGCTTCAAGCCACGCCTCCCAGTCCTCTAGGTATGAGAGCATAGTCTAACCGGCTCTCATACTATGATGTTACACACACACACACACACACACACACACACACACACACACACACACGTGCAGTGCCATCAAGGTCAGCCATAGAGAATCACTGAATTTCTTGAGTAACTCTTTAAGTGATGACAGATGGGGGAAAGACAAGATGTGACAGCAAAACCTGCTAGACTTTGAATGCACTTTCCAAGTTTCTTAAAATTATTGGTAAACATGCAAGTCTCTTGCCCTCCTCATACAAAGTGAAAAATACAGCCACAAATGTTCCAATAACCAGAGTGAATGATCAGGTATATAAGGACACTCGTGCCACATCTAAAGCACTAAGTTGCATCACAACCCTACAATGAAGCTTAGCTAAAATGTTTTGTCACCGTGACATTGATTAAAAGATACTATTTTCAAAATATTGAAGGAACACTATATTGTCAGGAATAGGTACATGGATGAAATAATCAAACTTGATCTAAGCCAATCCCAACGCTTTCCCATAGGAAAGCATTGGGAGACTATTGCACATGCGCAGCACAATGCTGTGCTGTGCCAATCAGCATCTCCTCATAGGGATACATTGAATCAACGCATTAACATATAGTTGTTGCACCCACACATTATAAACATGTAAGATATTTTAAGGTATACCATTGTATTATTTTATACCATTCTTTACCAATGTTTAAATGTATTTATTTAGTATGTTTTAGAAAAGAGGGGTCCACTTATATAGCGTGCTTTTTCATTGATTCATTTATTATAACTTTTATTTAGCAATTGCATATATGCCGACTACACCGGCCACATAGGGTCTGCACCGCGCCGATATTTTATTTCTCAGATTATGCTAGATCAACCTAACAAACATTTAGTATTTGGAGCAGGCGAGAGAACTGGTGTCCTCTGCATTTCATCTGGCCTCAGATATTAACATCTTTAAAGCTATGCCATGGTAGAGGTCTGGCTACCGTTGAATTGACCTGTCAAAGTTGAATAACCAAGGGTCAAATAAAAGAAGAAAATACCGTTGTCCATGATTAACTGATCCAGACTACAAACATGACCAAAACCTCAAACCCCACGCACCTGAAGTCTACAGTTGTGGTAACAAGGATAAATTAAAAAAATCTAACAAATCTCCTTCAATATTTTAGTACATTTTTACACTTTTAAAAGAACACAGTAAATGAGAGATACATTAGTGGTAGAACTTTTTACAACCCAAGAGTGTGTATTCACTTAAAGCTGAATTATCTGAAATGGGGAGTTAGTATTGTGGCACTTAAATTACCACTGGGTTAATGGTCAATTTAACCTCTTGAGTGCCTTTCAGTAGGAGGACAGATTGGCTGCTGAGAATATCAGTCAGTCCCTGTGGAAGAGAGAAAACACACACCTTGCTGTGGTGCAAAGTGAAAAATGAGCAGTTATGTGATTCATTGATGGGGGTGGCCAATATGTGGACAAATGGTGAAGACACGGTAGTGCCTCCATGAAAAACAAACAAAAAAAAAAAAAAAAAACTCACCTGGTCCGTACCATGGCCATTTTCCCTTTTTACCCATGCACAAGCCTTTTATCATTAAAACATGCTCTGGGTCCACGCCTCCTTTTCTGGGAAAAATGTTACTGCCTTGCATTCCCTCAGTGTAACCTGCTAGAATATTTTTTGGAAAGGGTCCACATAATAATCCCCTTCATTTCTTTGTATACAATGCTAAGGGGTCTCATTTAGGTATGGCTTGAGGACTGTCCTAATGTGTTTTATTCACCACCTCCGATAGACTGTAAGCTCGTTTGAGCAGGGTCTTCTTCATCCTATTGTTCCTATAAGTTATTTTGTAATTGTCCTATTTATAGTTACATTCCCCTCTCATAACATTGGAAAGTGCTACGGAATCTGTTGGCGTTATATAAATGGCAATAATAATAATGCAGCTCTATGGACAACATTCAGCGCATCCATGACTGACTGCAACTGCCACTAGAGAAGTTACTAGCCAGCAATGTAAACACTCCACTTTTTTCCTCTGAAAAGGCAGTGTTTACAGTGCTAAGGCTGCAGGGACAGGCAAGACACCAGAACTACATTAAGCTGTCCCTTTAAGTGGTCCATTTTAAAATAGCAATCTCACCAGATCAACTAGTATCAAGCTTTTCATTTATCCCCAATCTCAGAGAGCTAAAACAAAATAAAAAAAAACATTTCTGCCTGCTACAGAAGAAGAAAACGTGTTTCTCATGGTCGAGTGCACCAAATACCCACGATAGCTATTTTCTTTTAGCGAACACTGGCATTACCTTCTCAGGTATGTTCTGAGCTGGTTTGATCTTCCCCTTTGCCATCAACATTGCATTAATCTTAGCCGCCACTGCAGCAGCTGCATCCAAAGCCCCACACGGAGCACTGACTGACTCGGAAACTGTACTTGCAGGTTGGGGATCTGGAGGAGCCATGTAGACCCCAGGGCCGAGAGATTGGATCACAGGCATTGTACCAGGGATGAGAAGAGTAGCACCGGCAGGGCCAGGCTGGTCCCACTTACTTCGTCTTCTATAAAAACAAACAAAACAACTGTTTTTAACGAAAATTACAAATCTTACTTGATTTCTTCTATTTCTTGAGAAATCCCACAATGAAATGCAAAGTAGGTTCCATATCTAGGGATTGTTTGGCATTCCGCTACCTGGGGAGAGGATGACCGAGGTAACTTCAAGAGTAATGGAATGTTTTGTTATCCTCTTCCTAAGGGGAGGAGGCTTTGCAGGAAACCATCGGAAAGTGGACTAAAAATCTCGCCATAAAAGATTGACTAGTAGATATTCACCCCTGGCGAGTGTGCTATATCTTCCAGTGGTAAGTAGCCTTTTAAGGGACACTATAGTCACCAGAACTACAGCCTAATGTAGATATGGTGTCTATAGCTTGTCCCTGCAGGCAGTTTCATGTAAATACCGTCTTTTATGGGAAACCATTGGATTGGCTGAGATTGTTAATATTCACGATCTGAGCAAAGTAGGGGGAGTCGGCGCTGGAATAACGGTAAGGGGGCTAGTTATAATAAAACTATAGTGATAGCAATACAGGCTCTAGCTGGGGAGAAGAGGTTCTGCAGGTAATTTCTAGAGTCAGGAATTGCCATCCTTAAGCTGGGAGGAGAAGGTTTTCCCTATGATCAGGCATGGTTTGGTTATCCTCTTGCTTGGGAGAGGGGCTTCTCCAATTAATCTGAGGGTCAGGGATGGTCTGGGTATGCTTCTCTATGAGGTGTTTTTTTACGGGAATTGTTTGGGCACTCTAGCTGGAGGACCTAGGTTCTCCAGGTAACATTAATGCCTGGGTGTCACGTCTCTGAGGTAGTTTTCCAGAGATTGTCTAACTACCCTGTAGGTGGGGTGGGGTGGGGTGGAGAAGCGGTTCTCTAGTTTACCAAAGGGTCAGGTTTAGTTTAGTTCTCTCTGTCTCTGAGGTGATATTTCAGGGTTAGTTTAGTTCTCTCTCTCTCTGAGGTGATTTCAGGGTTAGTTTAGTTCTCTGAGGTGATATTTCAGGGTTAGTTTAGTTCTCTCTCTCTCTGAGGTGATATTTCAGGGTTAGTTTAGTTCTCTCTCTCTCTGAGGTGATATTTCAGGGTTAGTTTAGTTCTCTCTCTCTCTGAGGTGATATTTCAGGGTTAGTTTAGTTCTCTCTCTCTCTGAGGTGATATTTCAGGGTTAGTTTAGTTCTCTCTCTCTGAGGTGATATTTCAGGGTTAGTTTAGTTCTCTCTGAGGTGATATTTCAGGGTTAGTTTAGTTCTCTCTGAGGTGATATTTCAGGGTTAGTTTAGTTCTCTCTGAGGTGATATTTCAGGGTTAGTTTAGTTCTCTCTCTGAGGTGATATTTCAGGGTTAGTTTAGTTCTCTCTCTCTCTCTCTGAGGTGATATTTCAGGGTTAGTTCAGTTCTCTCTGTCTCTGAGGTGATATTTCAGGGTTAGTTTAGTTCTCTCTCTGTCTCTGAGGTGATATTTCAGGGTTAGTTTAGGTCTCTCTCTCTCTGAGGTGATAGTTCAGGGTTAGTTTAGTTCTCTCTCTCTCTCTGAGGTGATAGTTCAGGGTTAGTTTAGTTCTCTCTCTCTGAGGTGATAGTTCAGGGTTAGTTTAGTTCTCTCTCTCTGAGGTGATAGTTCAGGGTTAGTTTAGTTCTCTCTCTCTGAGGTGATAGTTCAGGGTTAGTTTAGTTCTCTCTCTCTGAGGTGATATTTCAGGGTTAGTTTAGTTCTCTCTCTCTGAGGTGATATTTCAGGGTTAGTTTAGTTCTCTCTGTCTGAGGTGATATTTCAGGGTTAGTTTAGTTCTCTGTCTCTGAGGTGATATTTCAGGGTTAGTTTAGTTCTCTCTCTCTGAGGTGATTTCAGGGTTAGTTTAGTTCTCTCTCTCTGAGGTGATATTTCAGGGTTAGTTTAGTTCTCTCTCTCTCTGAGGTGATATTTCAGGGTTAGTTTAGTTCTCTCTCTCTCTGAGGTGATATTTCAGGGTTAGTTTAGTTCTCTCTGAGGTGATATTTCAGGGTTAGTTTAGTTCTCTCTGAGGTGATATTTCAGGGTTAGTTTAGTTCTCTCTGAGGTGATATTTCAGGGTTAGTTTAGTTCTCTGTCTCTGAGGTGATATTTCAGGGTTAGTTTAGTTCTCTCTGTCTCTGAGGTGATATTTCAGGGTTAGTTTAGTTCTCTGTCTCTGAGGTGATATTTCAGGGTTAGTTTAGTTCTCTCTCTCTCTCTGAGGTGATTTCAGGGTTAGTTTAGTTCTCTGTCTCTGAGGTGATATTTCAGGGTTAGTTTAGTTCTCTCTCTCTCTCTCTCTGAGGTGATTTCAGGGTTAGTTTAGTTCTCTCTCTCTCTCTCTCTCTGAGGTGATATTTCAGGGTTAGTTTAGTTCTCTCTCTCTCTGAGGTGATATTTCAGGGTTAGTTTAGTTCTCTCTCTGTCTCTCTGAGGTGATATTTCAGGGTTAGTTTAGTTCTCTGTTGGTTTATGGGGGGCAGGCGGTGTCGCAGTGCCCGATAGGTGGGTTTATGGGGTGCAGTCAGTGTCGCAGTGCCCGGTAGGTGGGTTTATGGGGGGCAGGCAGTATCGCAGTGCCCGGTAGCTGGGTTTTTGGTGGGCAGGCAGTGTCGCAGTGCCCGGTAGCTGGGTTTATGGGGGGCAGGCAGTGTCGCAGTGCCCGGTAGGTGGGTTTATGAGGGGCAGGCGGTGTGGCAGTGCCCGGTAGGTGGGTTTATGAGGGGCAGGCAGTGTGGCAGTGCCCGGTAGCTGGGTTTATGAGGGGCAGGCGGTGTGGCAGTGCCCGGTAGCTGGGTGTATGAGGGGCAGGCGGTGTGGCAGTGCCCGGTAGCTGGGTTTATGAGGGGCAGGCAGTGTGGCAGTGCCCGGTAGCTGGGTTTATGAGGGGCAGGCAGTGTGGCAGTGCCCGGTAGCTGGGTTTATGAGGGGCAGGCAGTGTGGCAGTGCCCGGTAGCTGGGTGTATGAGGGGCAGGCAGTGTGGCAGTGCCCGGTAGCTGGGTGTATGAGGGGCAGGCAGTGTGGCAGTGCCCGGTAGCTGGGTTTATGAGGGGCAGGCAGTGTCGCAGTGCCCGGTAGCTGGGTTTATGAGGGGCAGGCAGTGTGGCAGTGCCCGGTAGGTGGGTGTATGAGGGGCAGGCAGTGTGGCAGTGCCCGGTAGGTTGGTTTATGAGGGGCAGGCAGTGTGGCAGTGCCCGGTAGGTTGGTTTATGAGGGGCAGGCAGTGTGGCAGTGCCCGGTAGGTGGGTGTATGAGGTGGTATGTGAGATCTCCATGCAGTGCCCGGTAGGTGGGTGTATGAGGTGGTATGTGTGATCTCCATGCAGTGCCCGGTAGCTGGGTTTATGGGGGGCAGGCAGTGTGGCAGTGCCCTGTAGGTGGGTGTATGAGGGGCATGCAGTGTCGCAGTGCCCGGTAGGTGGGTTTATGAGGGGCATGCAGTGTCGCAGTGCCCGGTAGGTTGGTTTATGAGGGGCATGCAGTGTCGCAGTGCCCGGTAGGTTGGTTTATGAGGGGCATGCAGTGTCGCAATGCCCGGTAGGTTGGTTTATGAGGGGCAGGCAGTGTGGCAGTGCCCGGTAGCTGGGTTTATGAGGGGCAGGCAGTGTGGCAGTGCCCGGTAGGTGGGTTTATGAGGGGCAGGCAGTGTGGCAGTGCCCGGTAGCTGGGTTTATGAGGGGCAGGCGGTGTGGCAGTGCCCGGTAGGTGGGTGTATGAGGGGCAGGCGGTGTCGCAGTGCCCGGTAGGTGGGTTTATGAGGGGCAGGCAGTGTGGCAGTGCCCGGTAGCTGGGTGTATGAGGGGCAGGCAGTGTGGCAGCCCGGCTGGGTTTATGAGGGGCAGGCGGTGTGGCAGTGCCCGGTGGTGGTGTATGAGGGGCAGGCGTGTGTCGCGAGTGCCCGGGTAGGTGGGTTTATGAGGGCAGGCAGTGGCAGTGCCCGGTAGCAGGTTTATGAGGGGTGTGGCAGTGCCCGGTGGGGCTGGGTGTATGAGGGCAGGGCGGTGTGGCAGTGCCCGTAGTTGGTTTATGAGGGGTGGCAGGCGTCGCAGTGCCCGTAGTTGGGGTATGAGGGGCAGGTGTGCGGCGCCCGGTAGGTGGGTGTATGAGGGGCAGGCGGTGGCAGTGCCCGGTAGGTGGGTGGCGAGGGCAGGCGTGGCAGTGCCCGGTAGGTTGGTTTATGAGGGGCAGGCGGTGTGGCAGTGCCCGGTAGCTGGGGGTATGAGGGGCAGGCAGTGTGGCAGTGCCCGGTAACTGGGGGTATGAGGGGGTATGTGTGATCTCCATGCAGTGCCCGGTAGGTTGGTTTATGAGGGGCAGGCGGTGTGGCAGTGCCCGGTAGCTGGGTGTATGAGGGGCAGGCAGTGTGGCAGTGCCCGGTAGGTGGGTTTATGGGGGGCAGGCAGTGTGGCAGTGCCCGGTAGCTGGGGGTATGAGGGGGTATGTGTGATCTCCATGCAGTGCCCGGTAAGTTGGTTTATGGGGGGCAGTGCCCGGTAGCTGGGGGAGGGGTATGAGATCCCGGATTGAGGCCTATGCTATTTATTTATTATGCGGTAAAACTGATCCCAGTCCAGACTGAGCGCTGACCGCCAGCTCCCCCATCCCTCCCCGCCGCCCGGTGACCGTCCCTCGCTCCCTCCTTCTCTTACCCGCCGGACTGCGCGCTTCCCGCTGACATGGCGATCCGAGCACACCGAATCTTCTCCAGCGGCTTCCGCTACGTCACCACGTACGACGTAACGTGGTCACGCCCTCCGTCGCAGCCCCGCCCCAGCCAGTGTGTCACCTTTCACTAAGCCCCGCCCCAGCCAGTGTGTCACCTTTCACTAAGCCCCGCCCCATAGAACACATGGCACGTGCATGGCATTCTGTGCTGAGCGGCCAGGAATGCGGCAGCCATGTTGGACCGGTCGCCGCTCTACTGAAGAACCCTTAGAGAGTCCATCTCACAAAAGGTTTAATGAATGAATAGGGGCTCTTAATACCCCTACCCCTAAATACCCCCTACCCCATGTCATTAATACCCCTACCCCTAAATAGCCCTACCCCATGTCATTAATACCCCTACCCCTAAATAGCCCTACCCTATGTCATTAATACCCCTACCCAGGCCCGGACTGGCCATCGGGCATACCGGGCAAATGCCCGGTGGGCCGCGATGGCCGTGGGGCCGAGGCCGGCAGGGAGATCACAGGATCTCACCGGCCGGCCCCTGCAGGGCCAGCGCTACCCGAGCGCCGGCCCTGCATAGTGCCTCCATGGGCCGGTGGGGAGATCAAAGATCTCCCTCACCGGCCCACAGACAGGGAGATGCGGCCGCCAGCTGGGAAGAGAGGACCGGCGGAGCTCTAACCAGCAGCTCCGCCGGGTCCTCTCGCGAGATTCTGAGCGTTGCCGCGGTAACCGCGGCAACGCTCAGATCTCGCGAGAGTGAACTCTCACCACTGGACCGCCAGGGAAGGCAGCATGACTCCCCTCAAGGCTCCCCTCCCAGGCAGAACGGCTCCCTCCCCCTCCCAGGCTAAAGGTAAGAAGGGAGGGGGGGGGAGCATAACTTTTTTAAAAATTATTCATAAATATATATATATATATTTAAAATAAATTCCCAAACAGCACCCCCAGACACACACACAGCACCCCAGATACACACACAGCACCCAGACACACACAGCACCCAGATACACACAGCACCCAGACACACACAGCACCCCAGATACACACACAGCACCCAGACACACACAGCACCCCAGATACACACACAGCACCCAGACACACACAGCACTGCAGATACACACACAGCACCCAGACACACACAGCACCCAGACACACACAGCACCCCAGATACACACACAGCACCCAGACACACACAGCACCCCAGATACACACAGCACCCCAGATACACACAGCAGACACACACAGCACCCCCAGACACACACATAGCACCCCCAGATACACACACACATATATATATATATATATATAATATAATATAAAATAACCCTCAGTGAGTTAACAGACAAAGAAAATTAGAAACCTAGAATGTGACGGCAGATAAAAACACCCTCACACACAGCACCCCTCTTAAACAAACACACTGCGCACCTCACACATACAATACGTCCAAATATATATATATATATACACACACACACACTGCACCACTACACACATTACACTCCAAATACACGCTAGATCCCTTACCCTATATGCACTCTTAATCCTCTACACACACACACACACACACACAATCTTCTATACACACTCTGGGTCCTTTACACACTAGATCTCTTACACACACACACTGCACCACCTACACACACACACACTATATTCCTTCTAAGGAAAGACATACAACATTCTCTAAACACACCCTCTCTACAACCCCTACACACACTACGTCACCTATACACACACACTACTGCCCGTATGCACACACTCGCTACATCCCCTATAACACTATGCCCCTATACACGCATTCTCTACAGCCCCTAGCAACACATATTACACCTATTTACACAATACCACACCACACAATTTAAACGGAAACACAGCGCAAGCATGTTATTACATTTGCTTGCGCTGCGCAGAACAAATTCAGGGCCTTTTTCTAATGCCAGAGCTCTTCAGCGGGGCTCTGCGCATTGAACCAACATGCTCACTTTGAGAGGGGGCGTGCTTGTCATTAGTGATGACAAAACACACCCTCTCTGGTCCCGCCCCCTTCTTGGGGGGCCGCTCTAATTGAAAAATGCCCGGGCCTAATTTTTTTCCCAGTCCGGCCCTGGCCCTACCCCTAAATAGCTCTACCCCATGTCATTAATACCCCTACCCCCTAAATAGCCCTAACCCATGTCATTAATACCCCTACCCCTAAATAGCCCTACCCCATGTCATTAATACCCCTAAATAGCCCTACCCCATGTCATTAATACCCCTACCCCTAAATAGCCCTACCCCATGTCATTAATACCCCTAAATAATTTCTACTCAAATACCCTACTCCCTAAATAGCCCCTACCCCATGTCATTAATACCCATACCCCTAAATAGCCCTACCCCATGTCATTAATACCCCTACCCCTAAATAGCCCTACCCCATGTCATTAATACCCCTACCCCAAAATAGCCCTACCCCATGTCATTAATACCCCTACCCCCTAAATAGCCCTACCCCTAAATAGCCATACCCCATGTCATTAATACCCCTAAATACCCCTACCCCTAAATATCCCTACCCCACGTCATTAATACCTCTAACCCTAAATAGCCCTACCCCTAAATACCCCTACCCCCTAAATAGCCCTACCCCATGTCATTAATACCCCTACCCCTAAATAGCCCTACCCCATGTCATTAATACCCCTAAATAGCCCTACCCCATGTCATTAATACCCCTAAATAGCCCTACCCCATGTCATTAATAGCCCTACCCCTAAATAGCCCTACCCAATGTCATTAATAGCCCTACCCCTAAATCAGGGGCGTACCTAGGGCATGTGGCACCCGGGGCGGGTCCTGGGTTTGGCACCCCCCGCTTCTCCAAAAAAAAACCGAATAAATTTTTAAAATGTGTTATATTTTTTAAAACATTTATTGAACAAATTTGTAAACTTTGTAAAACCCCTTCCCCCCTCTACAAAATATCTGCACCCCCTCACACACAGTTACAGACAGACAGTCACATGCAGACAGTCACACATATAGTCACAGGCAGTCATACACACAGTTACAGGTAGAGAGTTACACACACAGTCAGTTACAAGCAGTTACAAACACTGTTACAGGCAGTTACACACACGGTCACAGGCAGACAGTCATACACATAGTTACAGCCACAAACACACACAGTTACAGGCAGTCACCCACACAGTTTCAGGCAGTTACACACACACACAGTTTCAGGCAGACAGTTACACACGCACACAGTTTCAGGCAGACAGTTACACACACACACACACAGTTTCAGGCAGACAGTTACACACACACACAGTTTCAGGCAGCTACACACACACAGAAAAATAGGGGACAATCTGCTAAATACAAATAAAACAAAAAAACATAGCGTATAACCGTGTGGAGACTGGTATTGATGTGCGATCACAAATGGTCACTCACAATTTTGAAGAGTTAAGATAGCCTTGAATGATGTCTTTATGGAGTTAAAGCAGCTTTAAATGGTGTTTTTCAATATCCAGTGTGTTGTCCCTCCTCACATATTCATCAGCAAATAGATATATATGTCTCAAAGAGAGAAAATGTACAAAAATGTAGTGCACTTCCAGAATATGATAAAAAGTATTTAATGACTTACATTTAGGTATAAAACAAACAGCATATCACCATACACGTCCTACGCGTTTCGTCCTAGAATTGGACTTCCTCAGGGACTTGGTGTAATAAAGTGCAATCAGAAATAGCAGCAATAGTAACAATATCCCCCCCACAGTCCTTTATATACACCCCCATTTGATGTTTAAAATCTTTCAGCTGGTGTTCAATTTTCATTTCGGAGGTATGGAATCGAGTGACGTCATCGCGTACACCGCGTGCGTTCCACCTTGCGTTCCACAGACCCGGAAGTGGGTCACGATCGTCTGTCTCTTTCTCCTATTCTAATGCATTGACTCAAAGCATGTGCAGACAAGTGGGTAAAAAGGAAAGGGGAGTGACAGGTAGTTAAAAAATACTCTGGATGGCACTACAAACCAAATAAAAAATGTACATTCTCAATGTGGTCTATAATTGTGGACACATATGTATATACATATATATATATCCCGTTTTCATTGAATACAAATTTTACAAAACATTCTCTCACATATTTGTCATACACATTCCCTTCATATAATTTATATGGAGATAATATCTTATTACATAAAATGCATGAATAATAATATGATCTAACATCTTGGATAATTAAAAAAATATAGCGAACAGTATACATACATATGTAATATATAAGCAATAATGTAAGTGATATAACCCATTTACATTGCACTTTCTATCTCCTTCTTAAAGGTAAATGAAATAAATTTATATATTTATAACCTAAAATAAGGATAAATATGTAAATATGATAAAAAATATATAAAATAAAATATGAATAAAAATAATAATAATAATGAAAATAAAATGGAAAAAAAAAAATGAAAATGAAAATAAGAATGGAAATAATATACAAAAATTTATATAAAAAATCCTTAATTTATTGAATGAGAGAAAAGTGCAATGTTTCCCAAACATCAGGATATAAAATTAGTGATTCACTCAATCTTCAAAGAAACTCCATAAATCAATGTCTAAGTTTAAGCCAAAGGGTTGGAGTGTTTTTAGTTTGTTAATCCAAAAAGTCTCTCTTTGAGAGAGCTTTTTGGTTAAATTTCCTCCTCTCCAATATGGGTCCACATGATCTATGCCCAAAAAAGTAAAACTTTGCCAATCAAATTTATTACAAGTATTGCAGTGTAATGGTACTATGTGTTTCACTGATTTTTTTCTTATATTGTTTTGATGTTCTAAAATTCTCTCTTTTAACTTTCTACATGTTCTCCCCACGTACTGTTTCCCACACGGGCATTGTAACATGTATACCACATTTCTCGTGTTGCAATTTATATTAGATTTGATTTTAAATTTCTCCTTTGTAGTAGAACTCATAAATTCTTTCTTTTGTACAAATTTTTGGTTTTTACAAGCTTTGCAAGAATTGCAAGGGTTGAAACCACTAATGTTTGGAGTCACACCCTTATGTGGAATTTTTAAAGCGTAACTTGGTGCTAATACATTTTTTACATTTTTTGTTCTCCTAAAAATGACTGGTATTTTTTTTGGCAACACTTTACCTAAGATAGGATCCTGACGTAAAATGTTCCAATGTTTATTGAGAACCTTTTTTATTTTCCAGTGTTGTATATTATATTGGGTCGTAAAAGAGAAATTATAGTTATCCTTAGAGTGTCTTTTGGGATTAAATGTTATTAGATCTCTTCTATTTCTTTTTCCTATTTCTTTGATTTCTTTATCTAACAATGTTGTTTCATATTTCTTTGACACAAATTTATTTTTTAGATGTTCAGCCTGTTCTCTATAATCTGAGTTCTTTGTACAATTTCTTCTCACTCGTATTAGCTGGCTTTTTGGTATAGTTTCCAACCATTTATCTTTATGACAACTTTTTCTGTGGATAAAGCTATTACCCTCTGTTTTTTTAAAGAAACATTTAGATTGAATCTGATTGTTTTCTATAAAGAGGCTTAAATCAAGGAAATTAATAGTAGTGATATTTATTTCATATGTAAATTTTAAACCATAGTCATTTTGATGAATATAATCAATAAATGATAACAGATCTTCATGTGAACCTCGCCAAATCAGAATTATGTCGTCAATGAAACGTTTCCATAGGACCAGGTTCGCTACCCAGCCATGCCCACCCCATACATGCTTGGACTCCCAATCCCGCATATATATGTTTGCATAGCTGGGGGCGAACCTGGTCCCCATGGCTGTACCTGTGGTTTGAAGATAAAATGAATCATCAAAGAAAAAATAATTATGTTTAAGAATATAGTGGATACTATTTAGAATAAAATTTCGAAAGTTTGATGATATACTTTCATCTTTCTCCATAATCTGTTCCACTGCTGCTAAACCTTTGTTATGTTTTATTATTGTATATAATGACGTGACATCTATGGTCACCCAGACATAGTCGGGTTCCCAAGTTACACTCTCCAAAATTCTTAAAATGTGTGCAGTGTCTTTCAAATAAGAAGGTGCTTCTTGTGCATATTTTTGAAGATGATGATCCACAAATTCAGATAAATGAGCAGATACAGAGTTGATGCCACTGATTATTGGCCTGCCTGGAGGGGTTATTGGATTTTTATGTAACTTAGGGAGAAAGTAGAAAATGGGTATTATTGGAAAATTATTAAAAAGATATTCTTTATTATTTTTGGAGATTATATCATTTTTATAGGCTTGATCTAGTAAGGATCCCAAAATGGTATTAAATTTTTTTGTTGGATCTCCTGTAAGTTTAATATAAGTTTCTATATCTCCCAAAATTCTATACGCCTCATTCATATAATATTCTTTTGTCATAATGACTATCGCTCCCCCTTTATCGGCTTCCTTTATTACTATGGTGTCCATCTTTTGTAATTTAGTTATACTTGCTGATTCTTCTTTACTCATATTATATTTATTTTCTCCTAAGTTTTTTTCTTTTTCTAATTTTTCTAAATCACGGCACACCATATTGTTGAAAGTTTCTAAGAAAGGGCCTCTATCCCCTACTGGATAGAACTGTGATTTCCTTTTAAATTGTTTTTGTTCTAAAATAGTATGATCTATATTTGGGGATATGTTTTCTTCTATCTCTCTTTTAAAAATCTTTTTAATGTAATTTTACGGATATATTTCTGAACATCAATATATGTATTAAAGAAATTCATTTTTTGATTCGGGGGAAATTTTAAACCCTTGCTTATGGCTTTTAAATCGGTATGGCTTAACTCTATATCTGTTAAATTATAAATTCCATATTGTTTCTCTAGTATCTTTGTCTTAGGGAGTTCTCTCTCCTTGGATTCTCCTCTATTCTTTTTCTTTTGGGGGGAGTTGCGTGAATGTCTGGTATAATTTCCTGGTGATTGTGACGTGGTTTGAAGAATTGGGTTATTCTCCCATCCCTGTGTTGGGACCCTCCCTCTAAAAAAAGATTTTCCCTTTCTTCTGGATGTTCCAAGCTAGTTCTTGTTACTTGGGCATACGATCTCCTAGGGGGGGAATCACACCGATTTGGGGAAATCAGTTCTCTCCTACCTCTTTGTTGGAAAGAATTTTGAGTTTGTGAAATGTTATTTGAAGTAAATGTTTTTCGTCTCGTGATAAGTGGACTTTGTGTACAGTTATTAGAGTGTCTTCTAGTTTTAATAGGTGAATTTCGTGTGTGATTAATTGGAGAATTTCTTATTTGCATAGGTGAAGTGTTTCTTTTATAAATGTCAGGTTTTCTGAAAAAAATGTTCCTATATGACCCCTCAAAGTTCCTATTACCTCTATCAAAATTTTGTTTTCGTTTATTTTTAATTTTATTACTGGTGGAAAAAGTGTTAAAAGTTGTATCTCTTCTATCTCTCTTCATTTTATTATTTTTAGTCTCCGCAATCCTTTCCTCTAAGTTGTTAATTACATTGCAAATTTCTTGTTCTTTTTCTTTATATTTATTGGATTCTATATTTTGGCTTCCTTCAGATTCTAAGGTTTTTATGTCTATCTCTATTTGTTCTCTTTCTTGTTTTTCAAATTCAATTATTAATTTCATAAGGTTTTGCCAACATGTGTCTAGAATTGAATCCCATTTTTTTAGGAATTCTTCATTATCTACACCACATGCTGGAATTTTTTCCACTCTTAATCCTCTAGGGATTAATCCCTCTTTAAGATAACCTTCAAAATTGTGAGTGACCATTTGTGATCGCACATCAATACCAGTCTCCACACGGTTATACGCTATGTTTTTTTGTTTTATTTGTATTTAGCAGATTGTCCCCTATTTTTCTGTGTATATCTATTGAAGACAAGAGGAAGTCTTCGGGGATTCATCTGGATACTTCACCTTAAGATAAGGGAAGTCTTGGTTTGCTCCTATATTACATCATTTGCACTGGGGTTGTGTTCACATATATTGTTGTTTTTTCTGTATATTTTAAGCTACACACACACACTGTTTCAGGCAGACAGTTACACACACACACAGTTTCAGGCAGTCACACACTCATACTTATTTATAGTGTGGGCTGGAGGAGTGGATTCATCGAAGTCCTTCCCTGGAGCCTGGTAGGTGGAGGTGCAGGGATTTCCTCTTGCTGCACCTCCATGTGCAGCAGTAACAGCAGCCCCTGCTCGCGGTTAGGCTTCGCCCCTACATATCCGTAGCTCCGCCCCCTTCCTCTGTGCGGCCAGTTTATCTTGCTGGTCTCCGTGTAAGCTGTGTGACACCCCAGCTGCCATGGGGCAAAGCTCACACAGCCCCCTCCAGCCCCAAGACCAGGGTCAAGGCACCCCTCTACAAAGTGGCACCCGGGGCCCTCCTTAGTCCGCCACTGCCCTAAATAGCCCTACCCCTAAATAGCCATAGCCCTACCCCTAAATAGCCATAGCCCTACCCCATGTCATTAATAGCCCTACCCCTAAATAGCCCTACCCCATATCATTAATACCCCTAAATATCCCTATCCCATGTCATTAATACTCCTACCCCTAAATACCCCTACAGTGTTAATACCCCTACCCCTAAATTCCCCTACCCCATGTCATTAATACCCCTAAATACCCCTACCCCATGTCATTAATACCCCTACCCTTACAGTGTTAATACTGCTCTTTCCCACTATCTACTTGAAGAAGCCTGTTAAGGCGAAACGCGTTTAGATATTAATAGATTTTGTTCTTAACTCTATAATAAAGATATTTTATTGGCATAAAATACTTTATTGCCATTTGCTTTACCTGATTTTACATACATTTTCTTTTATTGCTTTTACGTATACGGCTCACCCTGCAGGAAGTGCAAAGAATCCATAGGTGGGGATTATACCACCTGAGCACCTTCACTGAGCAGTTTTGAGTCTGCTCTACTTTACGTGAGTAGTATACTTTACTTTCTTTTAATTTTATTACATACAGTGAGCACTATATATTTTATTTCATTTTTTCCTCTGGGTCGTATCACGTCAAATTGAACGCTGAACCCACGTCAGATATTCAACAATCAACATTTACTCAGGGGCGGACTGACCGGTCGGGCACTTCGGACACGGTCCGAGGGCCGGCCGGGAGGGGGGCCCGCCGCCAGGGCTGGATTGGGGACTTGAGCGGAAGGTGCCACCGGGTGGCCGGTCCGGTGGCACACTGTGAGGGGGGGCCGGCCGTTTGATGCTGCAGCCGCCGGACCGGGTAGCAGCCTCGCCGGTCCGGCGGCATTCCTCTGACTAACACTGGAGGAGGAGCATGTGTCTATCATGCTCCCTGCGGTTCCCACAATTCCCAGCACAGGATGTGGGAACCGCAAAGGAGCATGACAGACACATGCTCCTCCTCCTCCTCTTCCTTCCGTTAGTGAGAGGAATGCCGCCGGACCGGCGAGGCTGCCACCCGGTCCGGCGGCTGCAGCATCAAACGGCCGGCCACCCGGTGGCACCTTCCTCTCAAGTCCCCAATCCAGCCCTGCCGCCGGGCCCCCTGAAGGCGGCCCTGGCGGCGGGCCCCCCTCCCGGCCGGGCCCTCGGACCATGTCCGAAGTGCCCGACCGGTCAGTCCGCCCCTGAATCAGAGCACTCTCACAGGCAAATCTCACTTGCCTCGACCCCTATGTTACGAACGCTAGTATTTTAAGTACCTTGTTAGCCTCTTCCTCCCGAACTTCTAAGCCTGAGTGATTACAGTTTCAGTTCGTGTGTAGATACGAATAGTTCCAGACGAATGCAGCATCCAAGTAGTTTCTCCCCAGCAAGTAGATAGCTACCCAAGCTGAGACTAGACTTCATGAAGGGTACAACAGGGATGAATCTTTATTGGTGCCACACTGGCTTTTATGCAATTCCCCATGCAAGGGGACCTCCCACATGGACCTTGTGGGGGACAGAGAAACAAAGTTTACAACCATTAATACAGTTGCAAGAAAAAGTATGTGAACCCTTTGGAATGATATGGATTTCTGCACAAATTGGTCATAAAATGTGATCTGATTATTATCTAAGTCACAACAATAGACAATCACAGTCTGCTTAAACTAATAACACACAAAGAATGAAATGTTGCCATGTTTTTATTGAACACACCATGTAAACATTCACAGTGCAGGTGGGAAAAGTATGTGAACCCCTAGACTAATTACATCCCCAAGAACTAATTGGAGTGAGATGTCAGCCAACTGGAGTCCAATCAATGAGATGAGATGCCCTGCCTGCCCTATAAAAAACACACACCAGTTCTGTGTTTGCTTTTCACAAGAAGCATTGCCTGATGTGAATGATGCCTCGCACAAAAGAGCTCTCAGAAGACCTACGATTAAGAATTGTTGACTAGCATAGAGCTGGAAAGGGTTATAAAAGTATCTCCAAAAGCCTTGCTGTTCATCAGTCCACGGTAAGACAAATTGTCTATAAATGGAGAAAGTTCAGCATGGCTGCTACTCTCCCTAGGAGTGGCCATCCTGTAAAGATGACTGCAAGAGCATAGCGCAGACTGCTCAATGAGGTGAAGAGGAATCCTAGAGTGTCAGCTAAAGACTTACAAAAGTCACTGGCAAATGCTAACATCCCTGTTAGCGAATCTACAATACGTAAAACACTAAACAAGAATGGATTTCATGGGAGGATACCACAGAGGAAGCCACTGCTGTCAAACAAAACATTGCTGCACGTTTACAGTTTGCACAAGAGCACCTGGATGTTCCACAGCAGTACTGGCAAAATATTCTGTGGACAGATGAAACCAAAGTTGAGTTGTTTGGAAGAAACACACAACACTATAGGTGGCGAAAAAAAGGCACAGCACAGCAACATCAAAACCTCATCCCATGTCAGGCCGTATTCTATTCCGGCTCCGTTCCAGCGTTTCCGGTACATGGAGCCAGCCCGCCCCCTTTCTGACGCGGCTCTCTTACGCTATATAGAGAGACCGCGCCAGATTCAAACCGCTTGGTGATTCTCGGACCTAATTCCGTATTCAAACGCCGGCTAAGCTCTTCGTTCACAAAGTTACTAAACCTTTGATTATTATAAAGGATTTTGCCTTCTCTGTACCTCTGACCATGGATTGTATTGGAGTCTCCTGAAAACCGGACTGTGTATATCATTCATCCCTTGGATTCAAGCTATACATTCCCATGGAGGACAACTCCCATCAATCTTAAGTATACTAATTACTCTGATCTCTGAAGACTTACTTACTAATGAACTGTTTCTTGCTTGCTATAATCTTCAGTTACTTCCTAATGAATTGTTACTTACATGCTATTCCCATGGAGGACAACTCCCATCAATCTTAAGTATACTATTCACTTCCACCTCTGAAGATTTAATTACTAATGAACTGTTTCTTGCTTGATATAACCTGCAGTTACTTCTTAATGCATTGTTATTTGCATGCTATAATTCTCAGTTACTAAAATATTATTGCATTCATTAAGACTTTGCTTTCTTCACTAACTGCCTGCAACCACCACTTTGCTTTAAAGCTACAGTATCCTCAATAATTCTCCGCTTTCTTGCTATTGTAATTAAGGAGTTCTACAAGCTGCAGTTGAGTTCCAGTTCTAAAACCCCTTGTAGCATCACATCCCAACTGTGAAGTATGGTGATGGGGGCATCATGGTTTGGGGCTGCTTTGCTGCTTCAGGGCCTGGACGGATTGCTATGAATTCCCAAGTTTATCAAGACATTTTGCAGGAGAACTTAAGGCCATCTATCTACCAGCTGAAGCTCAACAGAATATGGGTGTTGCAACAGGACAATGACCCAAAGCATAGAAGTAAATCAACAACAGAATGGCTTAAACAGAAGAAAATACGCCTTGTGAAGTGGCCCAGTCAGCGTCCTGACCTCAACCTGATTGAGATGCTGTGGCATGACCTCAAGACAGCGATTCACAACAGACATCCCAAGAATATTGCTGAACTGAAACAGTTCTGTAAAGAGGAATAATCAAGAATTACTCCTGACCGTTGTGCACGTCTGATCTGCAACTACAGGAAACGTTTGGTTGAAGTTATTGCTGCCAAAGGAGATTCAACCAGTTATTAAATCCAAGGGTTCACATACTTTTTCCACCTGCACTGTGAATGTTTACATGGTGTGTTCAATAAAAACATGGCAACATTTCATTCTTTGTGTGTTATTAGTTTAAGCAGACTGTGATTGTCTATTGTTGTGACTTAGATGATGATCAGACCACATTTTATAACCAATTTGTGCAGAAATCCATATCATTCCAAAGGGTTCACATACTTTTTCTTGCAACTGTAGTTCAGTGACAAAGATGAACACTCCCACTGCAAACAGGCAATCCCCTGCTCTCTGTCTGTGAGATAATTGAGTCAGCTAAAGGATAATCCAATTATCTCCAGGCAGAAAAAACATATTTTCCCCAAAACTTAGAAAGTACCCTGAAACGTATAGTATACCCATAACAAACATATCCCCTGATAGCCTTGATATGGATGACCGACATATCCAAAAATCACCCAGATCAGTTCAGGGGTTTTCGAATTCTATGGAAGTTCCATTTTACTGACCGCACACAAGGCTCCTGCTCAAAACAGTTCCATGAGTTTAGGCTGTGCGGTCGGTCTATTTCGAAAATGTTAAAAAAACAAGAGAGCACTCAATCGACAGTTCTCTGTGTAGATAATGAGCCAGGGAGGTGGTCAGTGTTCGGTAGTTTCAGCTACCGAACTAATAAAACATAAAAAGTCACGAATGGCCATAAAAGTCTTCAATAAAAGGCTATTTTCCTTACATCCTACCATGGGAATATTCCCAGGCAAGTCTCAAGACAAGTTGCACAAATTGTAAAAGTTGTTTTGTGTTATTATGGATTTTATTATTTTTGGGGGGATGAAGAAAAGAAGATTATGAAGAATGAAGACATCCAATGACTTTTTGTTACATGTTTTATTGCCCATCCATCACTATTATTAGGGTGAGGAAAGATAGTTAGAATTGCTTTATTTTAATGCAGAGTGGCTAGGGGTGGTTTAGCAATACACCTGAGTAGGAATTGTGTGGTGGCTGATTGTGATTGCAGT